GAAGAGCCAAACGAGGAGCCACCAGGTAATGGGTATGAAGTTTCAGTTTTGAAAAAAAGTTCCAGAGCTTCATGGTGATGTGGAAGCCTGTGAATACACTTACACCATCGAAGCCTATTCTTAAAATGGTTAAGACCATAAACTTTAAAATTGACTAGAGATCATCTACAATTTAACCAAAAACGTTAGAAGCCTTCCATTTTAGATGGCGACTCTGTTGTGGAATAATCTATTCCTTTACTCTGTGGGAAGATGTGTCATTGTGGTTGGTTTAATAAAGAGCTGCATGGCCATTAGCTGGTCAGGAAGAGGTTAAGGTGGGACTTCTGGGGACAAGAGAGCTTTGGAAAGAAGAACAGAGGAGTCACCAGAGGAGACAGAAAGAATAGACATGCAGGAAAAGAGGTAAAATCCATGAGTCACGTGGCAACACGTAGATTAATAGAAATGGGTTAATTTAAGTTATAAGAGCTAATGGGACAAGCCTAAGCTTTCATAATTAATAACAAGCCTCTGTGTCATGTTTTATGAGCTGGTGGCCTAAAGAAAAGTCCGTCTACATGGCTCCAAGCAGCACTTCATGTTGGCCCCATTCACACTTCCATATCTAAATCATGTCACTGGATCCTGAAGCTGACCCATGAAAGTGGAAGCTTAGCCGTGGTTACGATAGTCAGCTTTAAGTTTAGGGAACTTGAAACTCAGTTGTTTTCATTAATGGCCTGTTTCTGCTCCCAGACCTGGTTAACAAACATTAGTGGAATTGAGTTAGCAAAAAATTCTGTGCTTTTTTTTAGGTATCACTTTCAGCTTCAGTTCTAACGAAAAAGCACTAGAAAACTAATCACGGGATTGACTGCTAATCCTTGAGGCATGGGCGTGAAGAAGATGGGTGGTCCTGGAAATAAGCAATGGCTAGCATCATGTGCAGGGTCAAGCTTGACTAGGTTACCATCCCACTGAAGAGGCAACGTGCACAGGGCTTGGAGGTGCTTTGAGCCAAGAATACGCTATGACTCAGGTACGACTGCAGAAATCAGGTCAACCCCGAAGAATATAAGAAGGTACCGTGTCGTGAGTCATCATCCCTTTCTTTAGAAACAGCCAGAAGAGCAACCCAGAATTTTTGTCTGTCTGAGATCACCTGACTTGTGGTTTTCCCCTTGCTAGAGAGAGAGATGCTTTACAATAGCATCCTCTCTTTCTGGTGGGATAATACGATGTGTGAGATTATTGTAAAAAGAAAGCAAGCGAGTGTGTGTGGAAAATGAGCAGGTCTACAGCAAAGCAAGACTGGCGCTGAGTGATAATTACCAAAGCATACGCTGAGACTCAGCAAACTTACTCTCCTCTCTCTACAAAGTTAAAAATACCAATTCTCCACGGACAGTCTGGGGAGGTGGACGCATAGTCGTGCCAAGAAGCAGTTCACTTCATAGATTCCTTCCTTGAAATCCATAGTGCTTGTTGAAGATGTATTTCATTCAACGGTTTAAAGAGAGCTTTTTAAAACATATAAACCTGTATTAGACTTAACTTCTTCCTTTTTTTTCCATCCAACTGTTAATAAGTGGTCAAACCACAATTTCACAGGAAATACTTTTGTAAGTTTGTTTTAAAAGATGATGTAAATTAGCTGGGAAGTGGTGGTTCACGTCTTTAATTCCAGCACTTGGGAGGCAGAGACAGATGGATCTCTGAGTTCAAAACCAGCCTGCTCTACAGAGCAAATTCCAGGACAGCCAGGGTTGCAGAAACAGATCACGTAGGACTGGCGAATGGTTAAGTAGGTAAAAAGGGCTTGCTATTCAAGCCTGATTCCTTGACTTTAATCCCTGGTATTCAGTGTTGAAAGGAGAGATCAACTCCCCCAAACTGTCCTCTGACTTTACGTGTTCCATGGTGTGTGTATGTGTGTGTGTGTGTGTGTGTGTGTGTATGATGTTTATGTGTCCAATGTAGTAGTGGGCTGAGCATGTACTCCTTCTTGGCTGCTTGTCTGGCATATATGAGGCTTTGGATTCAAGCCTGAGACCTTGGACTCAGTCCCTGGCGCTACATAAATAAACAAACAAACAAACAAACAAACAAATCAAGGGTTTGTTCACCAGCAAGAACAAGAACCAAAGGCAGTCTCCTCTTTTTTCCCCACAAATAGCTTTTCAGAATTGAGGATTTATTTTTCTTGGATTATGGAGGAAAAACAAGGAAACCATCTCCAGCCTCCGAGTCAGGGTAATGTTACAAACTGTGCAGTTGGCTCAGATCAGCTCCAGGTTCTGGGCTATGTGCAATCAACAGAGATAGCTGGAATCTAGTGATCAGGGGCAAAGTCAAAGGCCCACACAATGAGTTTGAGGCTACCTTTCTACCCATGTGACCACCACCCAGCTTCCTAACCTCTTTCGCTTGTATCTTCATCTTGAAAGCAGGAACAAGAAGTTTGTGGGTGGGATTTTGTTGTTTTATTTTTGTTTTACAGGATCTCATGTAGGACAGGCTGGTCTTGCACTAGCTTTTAAGATAACCTTGCAATTCTGATCCTTCTGCCTTTACCTCCTGAGTAATGGGGTTACTAGATTTGGGTTATGTATTACTTAGAACTCACTATATTGACCAGGTTGGTCTCAAACTCACAGAGAACCGCCTGTCTCTGCCTTTCAAGTGCTGGGATTAAAGGTGTGTGCCACCACACCATATCATCTTCTATTTGTTCTCTCTCTCTCTCTCTCTCTCTCTCTCTCTCTCTCTCTCTCTCTCTGACAGGATTTCTCTGTAGCTTTAGAGCCTGTCCTGGAACTAGCTCTTGAAGACCAGGCTGGCTTTGAACTCACAGAGATCTGCCTGCCTCTGCCTCCTGAGTGCTGGGATTAAAGGCCTGTGCCACCACTGCCCAACTTTTGTCTCTCTTTTATTCATTCGTTGGGTGGTTTTCTGAGACAGAAACTTGTAGCTCAAATTCAAATTGGACTTAATGATAAAGACCCAGAGTCAGATATTAGGGTGAAAGCTGAAATATCAGAGAAGCAGAGAAGCCAGTCCCTAGAGTTCTTACATCTCCAAATGCTCAGAGCAAAGGAACAAGATCCTGTCTCTACCAATCCTCAGGCTGAACACTCTCTATGAAACTTCAGACTAAATCCCTGAGCTCCTGTCTCCTCCTGTTTTATATTCCTCTCTCTGCCCAGTCATATCACTCCTGTCTCTACCTCCCTCGTGCTGGGATTAAAAGCATGGGATCCCAAGTGCTGGGATCAAAGGTGTGAGCTCTGTTTCTCTTTTAGGCTGAGTCACTCTCGTGTAGTCCAGGCTGGCCTCAAACTCAGAGAGAATCCATCTGCCTCTGTCCCCTGAGTTCTGGGATTTAAGGCATGTGCCACCACCACCTGGCTACTTGTTCTCTTAATAAACTCCCAAGGATTTTTCTGAATGTTCAATCTAACCATTTATGTACACTCAAATAGTCTCTATCATCAATAAAAGGAAGAAAATGGTATTTTTGACTTTTATCATCAGAGAGAAGTTGTTTTGTTAGGGGCCAAGGAAGATAAATCAAATTGCCCATTATTTAATATTCATAGGAAGAGACCACTGTAGAAAGTGTGGTTAATGTTTGCTTTATGCAGTACTAGCTAAGTTTTGAGTTGTTAGAGAGTTGTCTTTGTAGCTTGGTTTCTCTTCAAGGAAGAATTTGGTAGTCACCGAACATATTTTAAGTGAGAGCGGAGAGGCAGAAAGGTTGGGAAGGAAACCACAAACATTTGGCAGCGGCAGCAGCGGCTACCTGGGCTGTGGGTGGAACTCAACAAGCTGCCACTGCATGAAGCTGACTGGAGCTCACTTGCCGGCTCAGAGAAGACTGCCATCGAGCCAGCTGGTTCCAAGCCCGGTGCGACAAGACCAGCAGAACCCAAGGCAACTCCACGCCCCCTACATTCTTCTAACGAGCGAGCACGTTGGCAAGGAGCTCATGCATGTCAGGGAAAGTGCACCGCAGGACGTACAGGCTGGAACATTGCTTCATCAACACAGTAGCCTGGCAGCTGGCAAATGGTTTTCAGGACGAGGATGGCGTTTTCTTGGTTTTCCTCCTCTTTCTTTCCTGACTCAAAACCAGTAAAGATTTACCAGACTAAGCATCATGATTTATGTAACAAGAAAGATTTTCCTGCAAAGGATTTTCCTCACTGACAGGAGAGGAACAGCAGGTTGAAGGCTTAGGTGAGAGGGACCCTTTCTCTAAATCGTGAAAATAGCTTCTGAGTATTCTTGCAGAAGGAAAACACGCTTATAAATCCGCCAACTTTCACTACATTAAATAAAAAATGTAAACAGCAATGGAGAATATGAAATAAAAGAAGGTGAGAGAGAAAGAGAGAGGGGGAGAGGCAAATGCCTTTAACTTTGAAAATGTTCTTTCCATATGTTTCTAACTCTCAATTGTCTATATTTTCCCCCCCGACACCAGGCAGCACACACCTCTCTCCTTTTTTACTCACGGCTTGTTACAGTGACTATATGTAGGGGACATCATGGTTTTAATGATCAACTAAATCAGTTGATAGTTCGGAAATTCTGTGCTCAGTTTCTCTTTTGCGCTCCCAAATATACACAACAAACATGCACCAATGTCACGAAAAACTTAAGGAGTGACTTCAAAAGTGACTGTTCTTTGATTTGAAAACAAATGACCATTAAAAGGAAAGAAGGCAGGCTAGCTCCCGGCATATGAACAGTGCTAGCTGTGACTTCCCCTGTCTGGGGAATCACAGAGGGCAGGAATCAGACCAGAGGGCAGCTGTAAAGTCAGTAATGAAACAGTGCCGTCGACGGCAAATGGCAATGCTGTCTTCATTCAAGCCAGCTTGCATGACTGTCCACTTTCCCAGTCTGAACAACGGCTGGTCTCAGGCAGATAACAGAAAGGAAACATGAAAGGTGACATTTGGCAATTTCTCTGACCCTGGTACCAGGAAAAACAATGAGAAAAGTGTACTTACCAACGTTACAAACTTCAACTCCTTGGCTTGGCCTTGGTCTGGGAGGAGGGAAAGCAGGAGCAGGCAGCCAAGGCTTACTGTCCGGGTCAGGTGCAGAGGGACAGCTCTCATGGTGGGGGACAGAGCTGCTTCTGGCAGCAGTAGGAGGTGCTGCACTCCAGAGGCCTCCTGGAGGGAAGTGCCTATTTAATCAAGAGATTGACAGGAAGGCGGGGCCAAGTTCTTCCCTAGTAGGATTTCAAGAAGGGTGGGGCAGGGCTTGGCATGCAAATAATGCCTGGTGTTCTAGATCCCGGCCTTCTCTACTTCTTTTAGGAGCCCTGGGAGGCTCAGCTGAGCAGTTCAAGGCCTCCACTCCCGCCCAGCCTCCTCCTTTGCTTTCATCTCTTCCACATCTGGATGGTGGTGCAGTGCTGGCTTGGAGGCACCCACCCTGCCTCTGTAAGGCTTCTGCGCTTAGTGTTTGAGGGAGCTTCAGTTGTGGGCATGTGTTGACTTGACAAGGCTTATTCTCCTGCCAAGGGTGGTGTCTGCGTTTCAACTCTCGTGCAGTCAATAAAGGTGTTTTTAAGAGGCAGGAAAGTGAGGATGGGGATATGTTGAAGATTTCTCTTCATGCCTTAAGGCATTTGGGGTCATTTGTGGCAATGCAAAGTTGGGGTTGGAGGCCCCCCTTTTTAGAAAGAATACACACAAACAATAACAAACAACTTACAGCCACCACCTGAGCTCCCACGAATAAGCCGAACAAACTCCCTTGGTCACAGACCCAATACAAATAGCAACAAAGGAGCTAACATAGCGGCAGGCCAATTGGGAAGAGGGGATTAGCCGAAGAGTAAAACAGGTATGGAGGTGAATAAGATCGAAATGCATTATGTACCTGTGTGGAAATGTCTATTATGATGTAGAACTAAAACATGCCAGTAACAAACACCAAAACAACGAAACAAACGAATAAATAAACAAAACCCAAGCAAAACCAAAGAAGTCCACACTGCTTTGCTTTATTGACAGTCAACAATTTTGGTTGTGAACCTTCTGGAAGAAACATATCCTTGACTCTCTAGCCATGACGTCACTGGGATTCTAAGGAAGAGGATGGTAGCTCCCACCCAGTCTGTCTCACCACTGACTGAAACACCTGCTGAAGAGGCCCTGTGAGAACCTGCAGGAGAAGAGGGTGGAGCAGAGGGAGGGCCTGCTGTGACGTTTCCGCCCCCAGGATGGAGGAAGAACAATAGCTTGCCCACAACATCGTCAGCATTGTATTAAATTTACCAGGACAGCAGGTTGCATTGCTCTGTGGTCATAGGAAGCCCTGGGAGGTGGCGTGTGGGAGAGTTGTGGCTCTTCTGGTATGGGGAAGTCAGAATTTGCGTGCATGTAGTAGATTATGCTTTTAAAGAGATGCGTGCTGTCCTCTTTGGGTTCTCCACCAAATAGTTTTACTGAGTGCGGGGATGAGAAGACGGGTGCCAGGCCAAGGATGGCTGCCCAGAGCCATGGTTAGCGATGTCCCCCTCAAACTCGTGTGTTTTGATCCACGGTTTCCAGCTGGTGCCGCTGTTTTACAATGTTGTGAGTCTCTGGGGAGGTGGAGCCAAGCAGCAAGAAATGGGCCACTAGGGACAAGCCTTGAGGTTTTATAGCTGGGCATGCTCACTCTCCCCTCCCTGTTCTGCCAAGATGAAAGAGTGTTAGCTGTGTATTTTTGCCACAATGGAACCGCCTGCCGCGACGATGGACTGTATCTCCTTATAAGACCAAGCATGCCTTTCCTCTCTTGGGTTACTTCCTGTCTGGTAACTGGTCATAACAAGAAGAAAAAACAATCCAGACCAGGGCAGACAGTTGCCATGGCAATCCCTGCAGTCTTCACCTGGTAACAGAAAGGACTCTCCACCAGCTACAGTTCACACAGGCTTAGTCAGCTCCCAATTCTTAACTAGTGCTGGATCCCCGATTCTGCTGAGCATCCCAAGTTCTCAGGTTCCAGTCTCCTTTCTCCTTCTGTCTCCTTTCTTGTTCCCCGAGTCATGCTGGGAACTGCTGTAGTTATGGCCTTTGCCCTTCAAGAAAAGGCTGTGGTTGGATGAGCTACCTGTTTCTTGGACTGTGTAAACATTTCTGATCCTTGTGTCTCTGTGGTATCTCGGTTGAGTTTTTCTCTCCCTCCCAAAATGGTAAGATTTTAAGAAACATTAGCGGTTTTGTCAAAAACTGCAACACTTCCATTTTGTATCCACAAGGGATAGAAATGTGTTTCTTTTTCCCACCTTATAAAACCTTGATGCAAATGTTTAACCTCCAACTCCCACCAGGTAAGACTTCTGTTTACATAAAGGCCAGGCTGCATCCCCAAACTTAAGTGCCCGGTCCTGCTTTCCTTCCTTTCCTTCACACAGATTCTTTTAAAATGAGGCAATGGAGGAAGACTGTGAGGTGAGACCCAGCCACTGGGGAAAGACAGTCATCCTCTAAGCTATAATAAAAATCAAAGAATGCCCTGTCCTCTCGAGCTTGCTCTTTTGCTTTTGTGAGTAGCGCACGCTTCTCACAAGCACCTTGTTGCCTGGTTCAGACACTTTCATTGGGGCAGCATTTTCTTTCTTTGTGACCCTAAACTTACTTCTAACAACATCAAAAACAAAGCTTTCTTAAAGACAGAACCAGGGAAAGGCTGCTTGAATAGAAACATCTCAAATGCAATTTCTGTTGACTTAGGAAGATACCTTCTATTTCACTTCCATCTAAGATGTCTTAGACTTTGATCATCAAGTCTAAGGAGAGAAAGAGTAACATTATACACGTGGAGTGCTGGAGTGGTGGCTTAGTGTTGTTTGCTTTTTTTTTTTTTTTTTTTTTTTTTTGAGGACCTCTGTTCCATTCCCAGCATCCATGTTAGGTGTTCCAGAATCACTTGTAACTCCAGTTCCAGAGAATCTGATGCCCTCTTCTGGCTTCGCCCCACACATGGCAAACACACACACACACACACACACACACTAATGGTAGTAGTAGTAGTAACTGGGCTAGAGAGTTGGCTCAGTGGTAAAGTACATACAGTGCTCTTGCGAAAGACCCAAGTTCAATTCCCAGCACAGTTTCTTCTCCAGAGGGATCCCACACTACTGGCCTTCAAGGGTGCCTTCTCCTATATGCATAATTCTATACATGTACACATATTCACATTTAAAAACTAAAAAAAGCATTTTAAAAGATTGTACATGTCTTATAAATTTTGAAAACTATGAACTTGAGCCCGAAAAAACCTCAAGTAAGAAAAAAACCCAAATCAAACACAGTTTAGCCTCTTCGGTGGAGACGTTGGAAAGAATCAGGGCTGATTAGGGCATAGGAATATGAATGAAATTTTTCAGAAAGAAGTTGTGCCTTCACTGGCTGTTTTATTAGGACTTTGCTGATGTGTAGAAGCTGTACTGTTACAGGTTCAGAGTGGAATTATCTCGGTTCATCTTTAGCCCCTTAAACAATTACCTCGTTCCCACCTCTGTATGTAATGCAGCATTCCCATGAGTATCAGCTAAGTCCTTTGGAATGTGTAAATGGACCCTCACATCCTCCAATGTAAATGCTAGGACTGTCATCAGAGAGCATCGGACGCCTGAAGCAGAAGCTTCCCTTCTCCGCTCTGACCGCCTACTCGCTCGCCCCACCAGGGTATCTAAAACATGCCCTGGTGGATGGTTTCCTTCATTCTGTCCCTATAAAGTTTCGTGAAACTGTTACCATGTTGGACTGGAATTTGGGGTACCCTAAAACTGTTCCCAGGCCATGGTCACTCATATTTGACTCTGGAATAAACTATTTTTTTATCCTTTTTGAGGTGAGAGCTGTGTGTTTGCCTTATAACTGAGGTTTGTAAAAAAAAAAAAAATTAGGAGCTTTTCTATGAGTTAAGGGTAGCAATAATTTCCCATGGTCAGAATGCAGTACAGTCCAAATCATGTGTCCTATCCCTACTGCTTGTCCCTTCGTATGTCGAGTGGTGCGTGCCAACGTCTGGCTAACACAGTGCTGAGAAGTCCCATCGTTGGGACAGGCTGGGGCTTTTGGGAAGTATATGTTCAGATCGAGATTTGCATACAGGGTGCTCATTAAGAAGGGCTCTCATCAGCGTGCAGAGGGGAAGGAAACTAGTCAGGGTTTGGCAAAGGAAGAAGCTGGGCTGCAATGCAATGTTAAAGACAGTCAAGCTGCCCTGCTAGGTGTTTTGATGTCCTTTTGGAGCTGTCCTGAGTTGGGGGTAAGAGAGCCAAGGTTGTTTTTACCTCTGAACTAGCCAGGTTTCCGCTGGGTCCTGATAGGGAGGGTGGCCTAGGTAAGGTGAAGGCAGCTCCTCTGACAAGGCTGTCCTTGGATAGGATGGGAGTTGAGCGAGATGAAAATTTCTTAAGATATAAAGAGGAGGGGGCTGGAGAGATGGCTCAGTGGTTAAGATCACTGGCTGCTCTTCCAGAGGTCGCGAGTTCAATTCCCAGCAACCACAATGTAGCTCAAAAAAAAAAATCTATAGTGGGATGTGATGCTCTCTTCTGGCATAAAGTCATACATGATGCAGATAGAGCACTCATATACATAAAACAAGTAAATACATCTTTAAAAAATATGAAGAGGAGGGGCTGAGAAGATGACTTAGTAAGAGCCCTTACTGCCAAGTCCAATGACTTGAGTTCTATTCCTAGAGCACACATGATGGAAGAAGAGAACCAACTTTTGCAAGCTGTCCTCTGGCCTCCACACATGAGCTGTGGCATCGGTGGGGGCACACACAAACATCAAATGAGTAAATAAATAAATAAATAAATAAATAAATAAGTAAAAGATCTGGGAGAAATTGACTCAGTATATGATAGGCATTTGGGTGATGTGACACAAATCTATGGCAAGGAATAAAAATTCGTAGGAAACACTTTTGATGCTCCTAGGTAGATCAAGGGCCATAACAGCTTTCAATGTGCTGCTGAAGAGGAGATGGATGGGGGCTGGAATTTATAGCTGGGCACCAGGTGGGAATGCTGCCTTGCCTGTCCGGATGCTGATCATCCCCATAATTATGTGATTGGACTCTTAGCACCTGATAGACTTCCAGCCAACTCTAGGATTGATTAGCCATCTGCACCTTGGTCTAAAATGAGCTCCTC